TCGGATGATCATGCTCCTCATTATTCCTATCTTTAGCCTGTAATTGTGATGGGACCGGAAATTGAGTATTGTCCCACGACTTCTTTCTGAACAATTTATTTTTGAGCGTCCAATTAGAGCGAATCACTATAACGTCCAGCAACGGTAACAGCTCACCTTCCTCTACTTTCATCGTGAATTAATTTTTTTCATTAATATGGTTTACAAACTTCAGAAACGTTTCCAGTTTCTCTCTTCAATGTGACATAAATGCGAAATAATCATCCAGGTACCACATGGGCCCTGCTGATTGTAGCGGTGCCTTCTTGAAGTTCTTTTTTGTTCATGTATACGTTTGCCAAAAGTGGTGAGAGCGGCGATCCCATGGGAAGTCCAACTATCTGTTCATAGATGCTTCTGTTGTATGTAAAATAGGTTGTCCTTATTGTCAAGTTGATTAGTCTTATTAACGGCTCCCTACCGATCCGTTATGATTCCAGGATATCCTACTTTCGGTCCAGCATTTCCAGCAGGGCCGTTAGCACATTTTCTCCAGAGATATTTATATACGTGGATTCCGCATCGAAACTTACTAATAAGTCCGTTTCTTCCAGTGCCATGTTTTTGGTCTTTTGAGATAATTCATATGAATTTTTCACCGTGCTTGATAGCCTCTCATTTAATTTCTTGAGTTTCAAACATATAAACTTTGCTTATTTGTGTGTCACTTCATACTTGATGTTGACTATCAGCATTAATGGCTCGCCTTCCTTGTATATCTTTGGTAATCCGTAGGCTGTTAGTAGTCATGCATCCTTTCTTATGATTGAATTTCTTGTACATGCGTCAATTTACCCATTATAATGCATATATTTCAGCATGGCACTTAAGATTCCATTTATCTTTATAGTTGGGTCATTGTTTAGTATATGTTATGTGGTCCTGTTTCGTAAAATGTGTTTGTTTTTTGTCCATTCTCACTGTAGCTCCTCCTTTGTCTGCCTGAAGGACTAATTGTTCATTCGTTTCCAGGGTTTTGCGTATCACGGCAAATCTGTTCCCGTGTGTAGGCTTCTAATGTGTCAAGAAGATCTTTAGAATTAGTTACATCTCCATTTCCCGTTTTTTCTCCTCAGGAAGTTTTTCGGCGATATTGATAACCTCCACCAGGATCTCTCCTAGAAGGCTTCTGTTATGTTGAATTGAAAAATTGAGTCTTTTTTCCAGGAACGCGGTTGTTTTGGGATTGAGAAAAATTGATGATAAGTTGAATACTTTCTTCCGAACATCGTGCTGATCAGTAGGTGTTGTCACCTCGGAAGCCACTTCAACTTGGCGTACTGGCTTTAACTTAGACTGTCTTATAATCCCAAATTTACGTAATTTATCATCATTAAGTCATAAATCATACGTGAGTTCCTGTCGGTCATGATCTGGAGTTTTTGAAATCCTCCTGGACAGATCACGACAGAGCTTTGACTTAATATCTATAAGCGTAAACAACTTGTTCCGTTCTGTATCATAGTATAACTTAGTTTCTGAATAGAAGCCTGGTGGAGATACTCATTAACCTTATCCAAGTGGTAGTGTCTCTTAAGGTCGAAGTCTATAAATTAACAAAAGCCAATGTCCTGATTAGGAAGAACGAGTGTATGAAGTATTTATGGCTGTTGGATAGGCTTAAGGATAGAAATAGAGTGATCGGGAAAAATTAGTGAACAAGAAAAGGAGGCTGGAATAGCCCAAGCCTGGTTAGGACTATCCCACCTATCATGGCAAGAACATTAGATGTACAGAATAGACAATAGCACATATCTAGATATGAGTGAACATCAGATGATCGTATGCTGGTTCGTTTATGTAAGGGAAGAGATGTAAGGGAAGAGCTCTTTTCATGAATTAATTTGACTCATCTGCAAGCACGTAGAGTAAATACGAAGGAGCCAACCAAATTATTGGATGCCCCATTAAAATCGCAAGGATAGGTGTATTAAAAAGTAACCTGGATTTGCAGTCGGCCACGTTTTCTCTTGGTTTAGTATATTTGTTACGCTATTGCGTAAAGTATGGGTTTTTGCTCTGACAATGTCTGTAATAGTACAGACGAAAACTTAGCACGGCTTTATCGGGTTGCAGGACGATGAGTCGATGACTCTTTGGCACAATCCAACAGTCATCATCCCAATCCAAGGCAATCCTCCTTCGGTTTTTAGTGTGACTATCTCAAAATTCCGTCCGGCCATCTTTTTCTTCGAAATGAAAGTTAATGTAACAAGAAATCGCTAAGGAATTATTCTAGATCCCAATAACCGCCAGCTTCCTTAAAAAAGGTGCCCAAACATAGATAATTTCAAAAAGATACATAACAAGTCTTTTTCAACGGCATTAATAGCTAAGAGGATGAGAAACGCGTAGATGCACCATTACAGACTTGATTTGTTTTTTTTTTGAATTAACAATTGCAGCAATGAAAATATAGCACACAGATTTAAGCATTCATTTTGCTACTGAAAAGTGACCAATTTTTGGCTGTATATAACCATAATATTACACGAATATAGATGAAAAAATCAATAAGACTATTTGGCTAAGTAGGTTTCTACCCTTTCGAATTGGCTCAATAAGCGATAAGACCAATAATGAATCTCCAATAAGTTTAAGTGGAGATAAATTATGAGGAATAAACAGTGCCAACTAGCTCTAATACTACAAGAATCTAATATTGCTTAAATAAATTTGCTTTTTAACTAGACTTGAGGCTATCAGATAATAAAGCAAGAGCAAGAGTAATAACATCCCGTGGGCTCATAACTTATTCTGCCAGTACATGAAATTCTTCGATAAGCCTGAAATATTCGATAGCTCGACCTCTTCAATAAGTACTTTTTAAGAAGACTTTACTCATCGTTAAATTTTCATCTTGTAGTTAAGTAGTTTAGGTTGTTTGTTTGAGGAATACGCATGTCAAAGTAGAGCCTAGCAACGGCAATATGTTCCACTAAAGGAGTTGTGCATGCATGTCAAGTTGAGAAGACTATATCTTTAAAAATCAGACAGATTTATCGCTAGTTGTTTAAATTGGTCCTAAAAGCCCATTCGAATGATTATTGTGTCGACTGAAAAGATATAATACAGGAAGACAGTATACAAATTAAACGGCTAAAGCTTCTTACATGAAAAAAAGACGTACTTATATATTTCTGGTGAAGCTGCTCCAGCTTCTTCAATTTTTTGATAATCTGTCGCCTCAACTTCGACGCATGTTGCCAATGCGGCTGATGTCCCGGGGCCCGCAAGGCCAGCCAATTGGTGAGCCAGGCGTAAGCGCGAAGTGCGTTCTTCGACCAGCTGGGACTCAAGGCCGGAGAGATGAGCGCGGTCACTTCGTGTGCGCGTCACAAGTCGCTGCAACTTTGCTGCCAAAGCCTCATTCGCTTGTCGCTGGCTTGATAGACTAATTCGAGTTAGCCGATCCTCACGCTCAAGACTGGCTACTTGATGCCGAAGATTCATCTCAAAGGCACGAGCCGACTGTAGCTCGGCGCGCAGCTTACGAACTGTGTTTTCGAGTCTAGGTTGAATCATATTAAAACGAGTTTAAGTAATAAAACTGTCTTTGCGAACAATAAGATATATTTTTAATAAGGCAATTCCGGATTTATTACTGACTTCAAAAAAAGTAAAGAGAAGATATGAAGACCAAGATAGTGTGGCCTTTTTTTGTGGTCGAGATCTCCTTTCGTTGTACAGAAGTTGTTTGACCTTTTTGTCGCAATTTGATCATATTAGCAGAAAGACTTAGATGAACGCACCTAGTCCGGAGTACATTGTATGCATGATAAATTCCAAAGTCGGGCCGTGGATGTGGTACATTCCCAGACGCTTGGCCGGCATCGTCAGTGAGTCTTGCCATTCATAGCACCATACAATTCACCAAAGGGATAAGTGAAGCCGACCCTTTGACCAAATGTGTGCTAAACAGTTGTGGTATCTCTCCTGTTATGTGCTATTCACCTATCCTATATCCTCGTATCACGTCTTCACAATCACAATTTTTCCTTGTTTATTTACATCTAGTGTGGTGTGCCGTTTTGAGCGACTTTCATGAGAACCCTCCACACTTCACACTGGCGTTCTCACCCACCTTCACCGTTGTGTTCGGAATGTTGATCAGTCTGCCCAATATGGCACACAAGAGACTAGAGCATAACAAGCTATAGACTTGGTAATACGGATAGAAACAAGATAGACGTGGCGGAGACTAGAGCTAGTTGGCTGACAGTAGGCCTGTTTTATCATAGACGTGGTCCATGTAGCAAAGGCTTGACCATGAGACTTACTCAGAAGCTTTAGCCTCGAATTAGTCACCCAGACGGAGGGAATGGGTAATAACGCCTCAAGTAGCAGAGATGGGGCAACAGGGGTCAAGTGAAATACTTGAACCAGGTAGGTAGCAGACGGATCTTATGGAGAAAGAGGCAGACTCTGACAAGACCTAGGGAAGGAGGACCGCGTAGCAATATGGAAGACTCTGATAAACACACAAGCGTGAAGAGGTGTGAGAACGCCAGGGTGGAGTGTGGAGGGCTCTGATGAAAGCCGCTCATAAGGGAACACCACACTAGATTTACATAAGCAAGGCAAAATAGTGAGTGATACGAGGATATAGGATAGGTGAATAGCTCATGACAAGAGAGATACCACAACTGTTTAGCACACATTTGGTCAAATGGTCGGCTTCACTTTTCTCTTTGGCAGCTTGTATGGTGCTAAGAATGGTAAGACTCACTGACGATGCCGGCTAAGCGTCTGGGAATGTACCACGTCCACGGCCCGACTAAAAATTATCATGCATACAATGAACTCAAGACTAGGTGCATTCCTCTAAGTCTTTCTACCAATATGAACAAGTTGCGAAAACAAAGTCAAACAACTTCTAAAATAGCAAGAAGTTTATTCAAAATATCAGTAAGTCTAGAATAATAACTTAGCTACCCAGGGTCTATTAAAGTGATTTAAGAATAAATAATGATATTGTTGCCATAATTATATGAGTAGGCCCCATAATACCATTGAGTTTCATCTAATTTTGCCCCATGAAGCAGGGCCAAGTTAAATCCAATGGCATCGTGAAGCCTGCTCATAGCCTTGTGGGAACAACTGCACTATTGGTCCTTAGATCACCCTAAGCAATGTAGGGTGGATAAGTTTTTACATTATTTAAATTATTACAAATCTTATAATTGAAAGGTTTCCCAGATGGTGGACCATAAGCCAATTTTAACGTGTGATAAGATTAACACTTAGCGGACTTTGATCAATCGGCTAATTATTTAGGCAGAAGCCCTAGCTCCCGTAAAATAAGCTATGAATCTTACAAAAGATTATAAAACAGTGATTCGAAGCCGATGTCGAGGCAAGTCTAGCTAAACATGCTCGATAAGCCAATAAAAATAGTAAGAGAAAAAATAGCCACTAAATACAACTTTTCATCAATGTATTATATATGAATAAACATCTAGAGTGAAAAGGCTCCAACATTCTTGACTTAGATTTTTCCAACTCAGTCTTGATGTCATGGGGCACAGGAGAATGCCACATGTCAGGTGTACTCTGCTAATCTAGTCTATTTCCCACAATGAAGTATGGACAAGGTACGATCATCCAGATTGCCCTGGCAAAACGACCATGTTTAGAAAACGAGCTCAAACCGCCTCTTAACAGCAAAATGAGACTGCTGCCAAAAGTGAGGCCATACCATCTTTGTATTCGTATCTTCGCTAAAATATTAAAGTATTTGGCAAAAAAATGGAAAAAAATTAATTAAAAGTCAGATTCCCTTTATGCATAATTAGATTTTAACTACTAGGTCTAACTCAATTTTTATGTCCGTCTCCAACTACTCCATAAAATAAATGATTGGAAGACAGAGTTGCTAAGCGTACGATTTAAATATGACCAAAGATAGTATAAATGGCAGTTAAGCCCGACCAAAATTGAAGCGAATATGAAAGTTAGGTATAAGAGGCTTTTATCCTAGAAGCGGACATTCAGGATTCATCAAAATTCAGAGAATAAAGTTCAAAATCCGAGCAGCTAGAGTATGATAAGCCTGCAACTCTTTCCTCACATCAAAGGTTCCGAATGAAAATGTAAAACCTATAAGATTTCGTTTAAGGTAATGAATGAGTGGTAGTTGTAATTCAGTTTGTCCAAACCATAAACATATGCAAAAATTAATGTTAAGCCAAGCTCTCCTGAGGAGAATAGCAGGCTATAAATATTACTTGAAAGTATGAAGACCAAGATAGTGTGGTCTTTTTTGTGGTCGCAGTCTCCTTCCATTGTATAGAAGTTGTTTGACCTTGTTTTCGCAACTT